GTTGCAGCAGAGATCATCCAGAAGGCCAAGTTTATCAGAGCTGGGGGCAAACAGGATGTAGCTGACTTGCTCCAGGATGTTTTAGAGTGGGCCCAAGTTGTACGTTTACTCTCTCTCTCTCTCTCTCTCTCTCTCTCTCTCTCTCTCTCTGTCTGTGTGCGTGTGCATGTGTGTCTGTGTGTGTGTCTGTCTGTCTGTCTCTCTCTCTCTCTCTCTCTCTCTCTCCTCTATTTATATATATATACATATATATAAAGTTTTACTTGAATAGAAACTATCATAGTTTTACCTCATTCTTTGTTTGTTATTACTTTCAATTTTTATTTTGCAAAATAAAAATTGAAAGTAATAACAAACAAAGAATGTGTGAAATGAATGTGCGCGCAACATTCAGATTCTGGAACAAGACAAGTCCAGAGATGGACGAACACCCAGAAATTTCCACCAGAGTTTACAACTGGTGAACAAGAAGCAGAAGGATCATGGATGATTATCTGACTGGTGAAATTATATGGAAGCTGTGGAAATGTTGTTTCATACAAGATGATGAAAACACCTGTGATAAAATTAACACCTGTGAAATGAAATGCTTGGAGAAAGCTGCCAACTTAACCATCTGAGTCAGTGAGAAATGATACTATCAGGCAGTCTGTAGGAGCAACACCATGAGCCCAGTTTTTGATCATCTAGTTAGTGCAACCAGAACGACTACAACACAAGTATCACACATGAAAATACATAATGTGAAAGCAAGAGGTTGCCCTAGGGGAATGTGGATTGACGACATTAAAGAGATTAGCACTGAATGACAGTAGCCATTACTGTCCATCAATCAATGGATCACAAACTGTTTCTGGCCCAATGCCATGTAATGGAATTTGCATGTTTTCACAAGCTGTTCTTTTCCTCCGTACAAGGTGTTCCACTTGTCTGGTCTCAGAGGGAGTAGCGTTCTTCTTGTCTCACTGAGTTTTGGGCACTCAAAGAGATGGTGTTCAACAGTTTCGTAGGGGTAGTTACATAGCTGGCACTCTGGGGAGTGTTGTGGCTGTATTCTGTTTAGGTGTCCATTGAGTGGAGTATGTTGCGTTCTAAGTCTGAAGATGGTGGCCTGGTCCCTTCTTGTTAGATGGTTAATGCTGTCATTAGGATCAGGGCCAGACATATGTCTATAAACCTCTCTTCCAGTGTCTCCCATGGCCCATCTGTTCAACCGAGTCTCTTTGTTTATAGCTCTTATCAGTGTTTTTGCTGTCTAGAGGGTTGTCACTGTAGGTGGTTGTTCTTGTGTTGCTCCTTTCTTTGCCAATCTGTCAGCTCTGTCATTACCTGGTGTGCCGGAGTGACCTGGAATCCACTGCATCACTATTCTGATGTTGTGTGAGGTAATAAGCTGATCAGCATCCAGGATTATCTTGGCTATGTCAGTTCTGCAGCGTTCACTGCCCTCCAGAGCTTGAAGGGCAGACATTGAATCTGTGAAGATGACAATATTTTGGACCTTTGAAGGGTAAACATCCATTACAGTCTTTAGGTGGTATACTGCTGTTTCCAGTGCAATTATTTCATCTTCATAGTTTGAACAGAATTCCCCTCATGCATCAAAAATCTCTTCAACAGATCCATCGGGATAACCTATATAGATTCCGTAACCTGCTTTAATGGTAGCTTTAAATGCTGATCCATCAGTATAGACATGTATCCATTCTTGGGGGTAAGAATCAACAATCAATGGATCACAAACTGTTTCTCCCCACAATGCCTAATGACAAAAGTGGAAATTGATGAGGATGGTAAGAACACTATGGACATATCAAAATAGGATTGAAGTTTTCCCGAAAGCAGAAAGAGAACCTAATATCCAAATCAGAAAAAAAACATCACCTTCTTTGGCCACATGGTGAGAAAGATAACACTGGGTTCTATATTGACCACAGGCTGCACACACAAGGGAATGTCATACCTTTACATCTTTATTCTCACTTGTTTTTGACTGCACCCCTGATCAGGCACAATGGATATTATATGACATGTCTTGCCATAAAGCTAAGTGATTTTATATATTTTGTTTTTATTTGTTATTGTGTCTTTATCTGTTTGTGTTAAATGCTGATGAAGGATTTCTAGCTGCAACATTCATTTTGTGGTTCATGTCTATGGTGTTGTTAAACTGGCTAATTCTACTTCTCATTTGGATTTACATTTTATAGTGTTATTGATTGCAGGGGGACTCAGCCAGGCTGATAGTAGATGTGACTGTAGACAGATGGCTGGGGTTAACTTGTGACTTACAGCAGACACTTGAGGAGCATAATGAGTACCAGCTGAAGATTCTGGTAAAGTGGCTGTTTACATAGATAAGTTTGTGTGGGTGAAAGAGGGAAGTGGGGGGGGGGGGGGGTTAATAGTAATGACAGCGGGCAGATAGCTAGCTGGTTTTATTTTGCGACTTAACAGTAAATGCTTGATAAGCAGAGTGAGTACCACCTGAAGATTCTGGCAAAGTGGCTGCTAACATAGATGAGTTTGTGGGGGTGAAAAAAAAAGGGGGGGGGGGGTGAGGGAGATTGTAGTAATAACAGTTAACAGAAAGCTGGTTTTGTATTGTGACTTAAGAGTAGATGCTTGATAAGCATAATGAGTACCACCTGAAGATTCTGGCAAAGTGGCTGCTTACATAGATGGATTTGTTTAGGTGTGAGAGAGAGTGAGATTGTAGATGTGACAGTGGGCAGATGTTTGTTAAATTAAAGAGCATAAAATGAGATGGTTTGATCTGAGAATTCTCTGGTGTCAGCTGCCACAAAGAGCCATTCAGAAAAATTATAATGAACACAGCAATTGGTGAACCACCCTAAATGTAGAATGTCTGTATCAAGAACAGGCCATAAGATTAGGTCATGTAGTGCATTAAAAATAGCACATAGAAAATCCTTAACCCCCCACCCCACCCCCACCACCACCACACTTTGATGGAGCTACTGGAGAACAAGAAGAAGAAGACAATCTAAACATGAGACATGGTTACACTGAACATTCTGAAGATCGACAGCCAGTCGAATCACATCAGTCTTTTATGTGGATGCAAAGGTCAAGGGTAGATGCTTTCACCTTAAGAATAGATGTTTTTCTTCTCCTCCTCCTCCTCCTCCTTCTTCTTCTTCTTCTTCTTCTTCTTCTTCTTCTTCTTCTTCTTCTTCTTCTTCTTCTTCTTCTTCTTCTTCTTCTTCTGTGTTTGCCTTTGAAAAGGTTGTTGGCACGCTGTGTTGTAGTTTACAGTTAAGCTGTAATATCTGCACCTTTGGGCCCAACACATTCAGCAAACCCATAGTAGTAATTTTTTACAATATACTTGTTAAAGGGTAGTGGATCTACAGCCCCTACCCCTCCCCTTCCTCCTCCCAAATGGACCTTGAATACACATCACGAAAATAGGTGTTTTGACAGTCATTCTGTTCTGCATGTGTTTTTGTGTGTGTGTGTGTGTCTTTCTTTGCACTATGGTTGAGCAAGTAGTTACAGTCATCTCATAATTAGCAGTTTTCAAATACACCTGTAATGAGTGAAAACAAGATTATTATGGCCTGGAGAGAATGAGGCACCTGGGTGTAACCAGAGGGTCTGGCAGGCTCACTAAACTCAAAAGAAAGGGCAAAACAGACATATAACCATCAGTATTGAAACTCTGCGCTGGCTGCTGAAGATGAGGGTGGGGCCCACATGGAAATGCCCTAAGTGCTGTGATGTCAATTCTTGACTTAACTGAACCTGTTATAAGTCTTTTTGATATGTTTAGTTTTCCCAAACTCTAAACAACCTGAGATGACCAGATGTAACCTATTTTCCCTATATGGGTTTAAGCGCCAAAGTTTTGGTGGGGAAAAAAGTACAGAAACACTCCCTTTTATTTAACAAGCATGTCGTAAAGGGTGACTAATTAAGATTTTCTTGAAATCAGATGTGTTGGGCCAAAAAGTGCAGTCCTCGAAGCTTAATTGTCGACTGCAACACACCATGCCAGTTACCATTTTTTAAGGGGAAAAGACAGAAAAAGAAGTAATGCTGTTGTAACGTACATGTGTGTGCAGGTTTCCATGTGTTCATTCTGTACACCATTTTCCCTTTTTTCCAGTGTTAATTTACTGAACATTTTAAAAGAAATGACCCCCCTTCCCCCCCCCCCCCCCCCCCAGATGAATACCATTATCTGCACACAAAAAGATGTGGGCCAAAAAATGCAAAGCTCAAGTTCATTCATATAACATTTTTCCTTTGTTCCAGTTTTTATTTTATTTACTTCTTTTTCTTCTTCTTCACTTCCTCTTTTACCGCTGTGGGTGTCGAGGGAGATATAAGGTTCTGTTTCTAGCTCTTCTGGCTGCCTCGACCATAGGCACATCGTGCTGTTGTAGAGTTTCTCTGATGTTATCCTTCCATCTTGTTCTTGGTCTACCCAGTGCTCTACGTCCTTCTTCTCTTTCCATGTATGCTTTGTATGGTATGGTGTCACAAGGCATTCTCTCTAAGTGGGCAAACCATTTCACTTGCTGTCTTTGTATGTAATCCAGAATTGGTTCTGTGCCGACTTGTTCTCTTATGATTTAATCCCTGATCTTATCTCTTATGGTCACTCCTACAGCCCTTCTCAGACATCTCATTTCCGTGGTTACTAATTTTCTTTTATGGTTTGTTGTGAGTGACCATGTCTGGCACTGGTAGCACAGAGTTGGAATAAATGTGCTTTGAATAAGATGTCTCTTTGTGCTGATTGGGATTGTCTTATGCTGTAAGAGGGGGGCTAGCTGTCCCAATACTTGGTTTGCTTTACTGCATCTAATGTAAATTTCTTTATCCAATTTCCCATCTTCGGTAAATGTAGTTCCCAGATATTTAAACTCAGATGCCTGTTTAATGCCTTTGTATTCTATTGCTATGTTTAGATCTTTAGATTTTATTTACTGAACATTTTAAAAGACATAATTTATATTTTTTCCCTCAAGATGAATACTATTATCCGCTCACAAAAAGATGTGTGCCAGTTACTTACAAAAACGCAAAGCTTCAGTGGCAAGTACATTGAGAATGGTGTTCACAGAATAGAGTATCTGGCAGATATGCGTAATGAAATAGAGAACCTAACGATGAGGATCAAGACTGCAGTTGATGTTGCTGTTGTGTCAGGTATTTGTGTGGGTTTTTTTTAAACCTGTCATCCAGTGTGCTTTATTTTTTCTTTATACGTCTCCTAAATCATTTAATTTATAGCTGAATTTGTGCATAATACAGAATATGTAGTTAGCATCAACATATATGCAAACAGTTATAACTCATGATCTCAACTCTTTCAGTACCAGAAGATTTGGCAGCAAATTCTCAAGTTGGGGGGGGGGGGGGGGGGGGGGGGGGGGGGGGAGACTATGAAAACTAAAAAGCAGCTAAGCACAGTGGATATAACCACTTGATGAGTTGCCAGACTTCTTTACCATGCTCAGACCAAATTTAAAATGTGAGAGAGCATATTTTTCCCTGGTTGCGATTTACAAGGAGGATCCCATTACACACTTTGCGCTGTTTGGGACTGAAATAGTTAATATTTCACGGGCCATACTATTATAAGCAAATCGTTATTCATAATAGTATGCTTCTTGAACTATTAAGATTTATAATATTAAAGCTCTTAAAATGTTAACATTTCTTGTGTGTGTTCTGGGGCCCCTTTTGTGGGAAAGGGGGGGGGGGGGTGGTTGAATAATTGACTTGCTACCTCCTAACAAGTATAGAAGTTAATAAACAGAACTTTCCAGTGGAGTTTACAGTTGGTGAGCTTGAAGAAGTAGTAGTTCTGACTGAAATTGTTACGCTGAGAGAGACAAATATTACAGCCTAACTGTAAATCACAGTAAAACATCAAGGCAGGTGAGGGTTAAGATCTAGTTATTAGAGTGTTTGAATAATAGTTTGTCCTAATTGCCGCTTCTCATGTGCTCTAGTTTTTCTGTTCTCATATTGAGGCCCCAAAATGACAACAGTATTTGTTAAAACAAGTTTGCCAAAGTCCAAATGGAGGGACAACCAGGACTTTCCACAGAAGCTGGTGAACAAAGAAGAAGAAGAAGCTTAGAAAAACTTGTATTTTTCTAACCTCTAATGACATGTTATGAACATGGCTTGTAATTCTGATATACCTCTTTCGACTCAGCTGCAGGTGATTTGGCAGCAGATCACTGTGTATTGATTCGACAGTATCAGAGCGGACTGTTGAGAAGGCAGTGAGTGGCAAACTACCGAACATAAAGTAGCCTAGTGAAACAACAAGTAGCTAACAAAATGCCTGGGTTGGTTTGCAAAGTTCAGTAAAGGATACACAACTAACTTTTTTTAGTGACATATTTATTGCATAAGAGTAGTCTTTAGTTGCACACACCGAACATAAAGTAGCCTAGTGAAACAACAAGTAGCTAACAAAATGCCTGGGTTGGTTTGCAAAGTTCAGTAAAGGATACACAACTAACTTTTTTTAGTGACGGATTTATTGCATAAGAGTAGTCTTTAGTTACACACACACATTTATAAAAAATACCTTAACCTCAACGGGCCTGTGTGCCCAATTCTTAACCCTTTGAGTCGACTAATTGGGAGCTTTCTTCTAAATCGGAGTGCATCTGCCTGAGAGGCAAGGAACAAACAGTTTGCATACAGATCTGTCAAACGGATGCACACACAAAATTCAGGTTCTGGAATGGGACTGCAGTCCAGAAGTGGACGAACAACCAGAACTTTCCACCAGATTTTACAGCCGGTGAACGCAGAGAAGAAAGAAAGAAGAAAAAAATGACTGATTAGGTTTTGCTAAAATTGTACTTGTTGGATCAAAAGATGCAGATATGCCAAACTAGCTGTAATCTACAAGACACCATGCCAACTGCTCATTTAGAAGTGAATGCAGAGTCAGAAACCTTGAATATTTGTTGCCAGACAGTAGCTATATTGTCCTGGTGGTTATTTCCAACAGCCAGCAAAAGTGAGGATGTGTGGTGGCAGCTGGCTGTTACCTGCCGAGACTGGTCAGTAGCCATGTCCTGTGTGATGTGTGAGCTAGACCTCATCTCCAGCAAAATGGAGCTGGTGGGAAAAGAGAAGTTCCGGGGACTGCAGAGTCAGGCAGCAAAGAGAAGCTCACAGGTGGTGAACATCCTGGAAGAAGAGACAGACTCTGTGCTGGAGCTTGTGGACTGTGTGACTGTGGGGTATGTGATTTTGGGGTGTTGCAAATATGTATGTCATACTTGTGTTGATTTTGTTTGGTGTTGCAAATATATAAGCCATTCTTCTGTTGATTTTGTTTGGTGTTGCAAATTTATAAGCCATTCTTCTGTTGATTTTGTTTGGTGTTGCAAATATATAAGCCATTCTTGTGTTGATTTTGTTTATTTTTTGGTTATTTCTTGCTGTTCGGTGCTGCAGGTATTTTCCATCTCTATTCATTCCTTTGGTTAGTATTCTCTTTCCAGTTGGTGTCTCCAGGTATTTGTATGTTAGCTGTGGCAGGACAAAATTAAAAACACTGAGGTACTGGAAAGAGCAGGTACTACAACAGTCTTTTCCATGTCTACAAAGGCTGAAGTGGCTGGGTCACACCTGGAGAATGGAGGATGGCAGAGTCCCTAAGGACATCCTATATGGTGAATTAAAGACAGGAAGAAGATGTCGAGGCCGACCTCTACCATGGTATAAAGACATGTGCAAGTGGGACATGGATGATACAGGTATTGAGGTGAACTCATGGGAATAAAATTACATGGACCGTGTTGTGTGGAAAGGGCATATTAGGAAGGGAATTAGAATGAAGGAAGAAATGATTGCAGAAAGGATGAGAGCTGAGCATCTGAAAAGAAATGGATTAAACACAAATGTTGACAACAATGGTTCTGAAATCTCATGCTATCATTGTGGAAGACTTTTCTTGACATGGGCGGATGTCGACCCAGAATCCCGTAAAATTGTCACTACTTTTCCATTAACTACCCCTTTCGTGAACTTCAGCTGGCCATCGAAACTCGTTACCGCATTTGCATCCCCTATCTCACTGTGACCACAGGTCAGATTACCCTCTTCATTAAACCCTCTGTAGGTCTGGCATCCTGTGTCAGAGAAGTTCACAAGCTCAGCTGAATTTGCTGTAGGTACATCTGCCATACTCCCATCAGAGAACCTACTTCCAGAGTCACTGCCACTGTCTGATATTTCTGCAGCCGCACTCTGATGCTGTCTTCTTCTCATCTTACAATCTCGTTGTAAATGATCAATCGAGTCGCACAGGCGACACTGGAGTGGGTAGTTTACTGAACTTTTCTCATGCATTTCTTTCTCTCTCTTACGAAAATGATCTTCATACTTTGGATTCATCTCGCACCACTGTCGTTGACCATGATCTCTCTTACAGTAAAGGCATGTAACTATTGGACCTTTATCTCTTACAGGTCTGTAACTCTTATACTCTCTTGAGTGTTCTCCTTTCTTCTGAGTATATTGCTTTTTCCTGTATACAGGTTGTACTGCAGCTCCGTAGCCGATGTCTGCACCCCTGTTGAAACTAAAAATGTTTCTGTGAGCATTCCAGTATGCAGCACCTGCATCTTCCATCTGCTTTACTGTTTCAGGTTTTTGCTCAATCAAAAACGTCTTCATGCTGCTCGGGACACTTGACAACACCTTGTCTCTTATCAGTAGATCTTTTAACAAATCGTATGATTTGTTCACTTTCGCCGATGTTACCCACTTGTCGAAAGTGGATACCACCTCAGACATATAATCCAGAAATGTCTGTTCAGCTTTCGGAATCAAATTTTTAAAGGTATTTCTGTAAGATTCCTCATCTAGGGAGAAATGTTGGAGAATTCTATCCCTGACAAAGTAATAGTCCTCAAGTTTTTCAGTAGGGATTGTCTCTAGTAATTTCAAAGGTTCACCCCCTAGGTGTTTTCGGTAAATGAGTGACCACTCTTTAAAAGGGACCTCATAGTGGTTAACCATACATTCAAAATTTTGTGTCCAAGCAGATATGGAATCACCCTGTGTAAAAAATTTTATTAGGCCCTGGTACTTTTTGAAAGAAGGTTCAGCAGCCTTTATCTCAGCCTTACGCATCTGCACCTCGGCATCTCTAGTTGCTTCTATCTCTTTGGCCTTTAGTTCCATCACCAGCCTTTCTTTTTCTAGGTCTGAATTGCATAACATCTCTTTGAGTCTCAAGGTAGCGGTGTGTTCTAGCTCTTTGTCCTTTATCAACAACTGTACCCTGTCTCTCTCAGCCATCGCAGATAACTCCTGTTGTTTTAGAGCTACCTCTTTGTCTTTTAATGCCGCTTGGGCTTCCAGCTCGATCTGCTTTAGTTTACCAGTGGCTTCTAACTGTTTTTCTATGTTAATAGCCTCAATCTCTTTTAATTTACTAGCGGCTTCTAGTTCCAATTTCTTGAGTTCTCTTTCGTCAACAATGCAAATAATTTAGCAACGTAATAAATTCAATATAATAATAATAATAATTATGGAACAATTTGGACTGTTCGATGCAGAAAAGGGATGGGTCACCGAAACTTATTCGTTACAATTTCCGAATGAGGGATGATGATGTGTGTGCACAAAAAAAAATTAACACAGAAATGAACAGCACTAGTATCACTACGTGGAAAACAATTTCACACACGAAAACACCTCGAAGAAATTATTAATCTCTAAATCAGACGGTACACGCACGAACGATAACGTACTATTAGATAAACACTTATTGACAGGAAAGCACAACGATTGGACAATAACTATTTACAAACAAGACGCTACAAGCATATATCTTGACAATAGACCCGGCTGCAAAAGGAGTTGCAGACGAGACTAGAATCGCAATATAGCTGACACGTAATCTTATGTTAATCCTAGCAACACTAGACAACTAGGGACAACACAAGACTAGCCCTGCCAACCACCCACAAAAATAACGTAAATGATGAAAAGGACAGACGAGAAATGAGAAGGACAATGAACGGTGCCAGGGGCTCAAATACAATTGCGTAGAACCCTCGAGGGCTGGAGAACAGACCACAACAATACACCAAAAGCAAAACAAACTTATCTTCTCTCCAGTCCTTGATTCTTGGCCTCCCACAGAAAGAATGATGAGGATGATGATGACCGAGAACGACAGGCCTCGGTTGATCGGTGTCAGCAGCCACCACTCCACCACACACAACCTTCCTCACACTCTTTACTGTCCGTCAAACTATTTCTCTTATACGTCACTAACTTGTCACGACGCAAACGCAGCCCTATCACATTTAGTCATTATTAATTACAATCAGTCGGAACAAATACGAAAACGATAACAAACTATCACTTTATAGCGCTACGGGTGATCCAAGCCAACCCCGATGTCGCTATCAAAAATTAAGAGTAGGCCCGGACAACGATGCAATATTTAAGAGAATTAACTCAGCTACGCCATCACAAACTTACTCGATAGCAACATCAAAATTAAGGGATTAACTCAATCACGTTAGCCCTACAATAGTGAAAGACAAAACTTAAAGAAAAATAAATCAGTCAGCTAAACATACAAACTAATCTATGTCTCCTATTTAGACAAATAAATACAAGCACATTGGGTTCACAATTAACGCGGACAACTATTCCTATCTAGCTACTACTATCGATTCAATTCCCAAGGACGAACGCCCCCATAATCTGTCACAAACCTCTGGTATGACCTTGCCGGTCCGTGGCTCGCTAACTAGGCCTATGACAGACAGACTAACCTACAACACACACTGAACCCGAACGCACACAGAGCACACACGACAATCTTTATTGGAAGTACAGGTAATACATAGACAGTTGACTTCCCGCCGTGTGGCCACCTATTGCCTGGACCCTCTGGCTGGACGGGCTTTACAATCGCCCCGTCCCCAGTACGTGCGACAGGCAATACTCTGGTGTACAAACCACAATCCGGCAGGATACGCTCTCTTCTATCGCCACGCTGACCCAATCAAACTGTCACAGTCTCTGTCCTAGTGCAGGGTCAGAGTGTCCAGGTTAGCCACTCTCTCACAGCACATATACATAAATACTCTACACAAGAACTATCCTATCCTAACACAAAACTGTACATAAACTATCCAGTCACTAACAGAAATATATCCTAACTTTAATACTATAACATAAACTATCCAGTCACTAAACGTCCTCTCTTCCTGACTGACGCACACCGAATCTCCCTTCTTCCTTCTACCTCGTGTCTCTTAACCCCGTTCACCAGCTCAGTCCCAGAAGCAGTCATCGTGTTACTAAAACACAGTTCAAGCTTTCTTGCTTTATCCTGAGCGCTGGTTTCGCCGTGCGATCACAGAACGGACTCGACCAGTGACGGCCCTGACCTCTGTGTCAACCCTGGGTGCACACCTTACGGTGTGGTACACTGACTGTACTTAATAGGGTTGTGACAGTCTGGAAAGACGGAAAGGTGCCAATCAATTAATCAATGTCTCTTAACATTTAGTTGATCTGCCTCGTGATCCATTCCCCTTTCTCCCACCTCTTTTTTATCTACCAGTCTGCCAGAAGCATGTCCTTCTTAGCACACAAGGTGATACTATTTGAACTACTGTTAATGTCATTAAATAAATAATTTGGTAGTTAAGCCCAACCTCCGAGTAGTTTGTGTGCAGTATGACTCACATGGCCTTTGACTTATTAATACTTCTTCTTCACTCGCTGTTATACCACTTCAGGTATCAAGGGAGTTAAAATACTGGTATTTGCTCTATTGTTGCCTTGACCATAGACATGATGTATTGTTGTCGAGTTTCTCTGTTCTTATCTTTCCATCTTGTTTTTGGTCTGTCTTGTGCTCTGCGTCACTCTTCTCTTTCGGTGTATGCCTTGTTTGGTGTGGTATCACACGGCATTTCTGTTTAAGTGCACAAATAATTTTATTTGCTGTTTTGTGTGTGTGTGTGTGTGTGTGTGTGTGTGTAATTTAGTATTGGTTTGGTGCCAGATTTTTCTTTATGACTTTATTCCTGATTTTATCTTGTCTTGTCACTCCTGCAGCCTATCTTGGACATCTCATTTCCTAATGTTCTATCATTACTAATGTTCTTTTCTGGTTATTTGTGAATGATCACATCTGTCACTGGTAGCATGATGTGGGGGATGAATATGCTTTGTTTGAGATGTTTCTTTGTGCTAATTGCGATTGACTTATTAATACTAATTATGGTAATTGTAATAAGGCCAAGTGAAGTTTAAAATAGAACATGATAGATTATTATTTAGTAAATGAATAAATGACAGAAATCTAATATCACGTGAAATAACTATTCATCTTGGTATTTAATGAGTTAATTTGTATTTGGTTTTCCTGTTTGCTCAGAGACAACACAGTGAAGTCTAGAAGCGGAGAGCTGGTTGCTGAACTTCATGCAGCTCTCTCAGATCTGCTGGCCATTGCCAAACTGCCAGCTCCTACAGCTGGGACATCTCTGGAGGAGCTCTTTAACAGTCTGAACCTGAGGCTTGCCATCAGCAAATGGGTGGAGAAGGTACATCATTTGGCGGCAGTTGTAGTTAATGCAGTAGTGTCTGCACCAGTGGTTCCTTACTGGGGGTCTGTAGACAGATTTAAAGGGCAAGTGATATCTTTGACCAAAATGAAATGAAAAATAAAGCAACTTTCGACACTTTTTATTTTGCGATTCTAATATAGATTTTTTTATATAATTTTTTAAAATAACTATTACTATTGAAAATATGGGGTCCGTGGCAGACCTTCAAAAGTAAAAGAGGCCCACTCTAATCGGGAGCCACTGGTCTAGACAATTATTTCAGATGAACTGATAATAGTATCATGGCAGTGGGAAAGCTGGAGGGAAGAAGAGGCAGAGAGAGAACATACTTCAGATAACCTGATAACATTGCTATGCAGGGCTTTAATAAGTTACTTTGTGGTAGGTTCCAGAACCCTTTTAAGGCTATTTAAATATAATATCCTTGTCAAGACACCTTAAGTTTTTGTTGCTATTTGATCACTTGATACTACGGGCATATGGTGTTTCAGATTATTCCTGCAGGACCTCTTCACAGTAAACTGCAAAGGTCATATTTTATACGTTCTTCCCTAGATACTTTGGTCTGATATTCATGGCTGTTCATATTGAATTAATTTTGCTGCTAGCACATTTAGAGTTGACTGACGTTATTGCTTTACACGCTCCTGCTTTATCAATATTCACAAAGTAGAAAAAGAAGATTATTATGGCCTGAAGAGAATGAGGCACCTGGGTGTAACCAGAGGGTCTGGCCGGCTCACTACACTCAGAGGAAAGGCAAGACAGACATTTAACCAGATTGGGACTGGTACCATCAATATTGGAACTCTGCACTGGCTGCTGAAGTTGAAGATGGAGCATGCTCCGAGTGCTGTAATGTTAATTCCTGACCCAACTCAACTCAAGATTCACATAATGGTTTATTCTTTGTTCACTGACAACACGCCCCCACAGAGCTGAGTGGTCTCGAGGCATGGCATCTGCCTTGAGTCCTAAAGCTCTTGGGTTCAGGCCCCGGTGAAAGCTGGGATTTTTCATGTGGACTTCTAGTAATTAACCCTAGTGTCTGGGTAGTGAGATCAAACGTCCGTGTGTATTGTTGCACACGTAAAAAAAAAAATCCCTTGGCAGTTGGAAATTGAAAAAGAGTAGCCTAATGGTGCTGCGGTGGCTAAATTTGGAGTTAAAAATCTACATAAAGTATTTCAGGATCCTCGCTGGTGCTATAGAGTTTGCGCACTGTACTGAGATTCTTCAGACTCATGCTTGAGTTAGAAATATAAGGGAGCACATATGGGTTACTACACTTATGCCATGGTGTAGATACTTTGTATAAAACCAAAAAACCAACAGGCAAGGCGTACAAGCCCTTGTTTTAGTGCTGGTTTTAGGTTATAGAAGTAGATGGAGATTATACAGAAAATTAGGATGTGTCAAAGACATAATAAATTATATTGCCAGTGAATTTCATAAATTTTTCACATTTAGTTTGTGAGAAAAAAAATGTGGAGCATTGTTTTCTGAATGTCTCTTATAATATGAAGGCAGATATGATATTGGTAAACTTGTATCCACAGGCAACTGCCGTGCAAGACATGGTCCGTAGCAACTGCTACGAGTATTTTGGCCTCACTCACCAGCTTCTGTTGCGCGTACAAGAAATATTAAATGATGGTAAGCGGAGTCAACCTTCATGAAGCGAGTACTTCTTCTTCTTCTTTGCGTTCGGTTTCATATGCTCAGGTCAGACCATCAGGTGGGTTGCTTCTATAAACTCGCATGTCAGTAACAGGTCCTTCATGGTTCTCCATTGATTGCTCTGAACACTTTGCTCTTGAAGCCAGTATAAAGTAAGTACAACTGCAAATATCTGATCTGTCAATCTATTGTCTTTCTCTGCCTAATGCTGTTAAGCATTGCAGACATGGCTAATGAATGATGATATTGTTTAGTTTCAGCAAGTTGTTAACTCCATCTATCTATATTCTTCATGGCCTTTCTCTACATCTTGATGTTTCAAATTCATTTATGCACTTACATGAGTTCATTCTGACCACATGGCCAAATCATTCCAGTCTTAGTTTTTCAATGAATCTCATTACAGGTTTTGTTCCCACCATTCTAATGTTATCTTTATATCTTTTATGGTTTCTTCTTGTTATGTCTGTACAAATATGGGTGCTTTTCTCAAACATCTAATCTTCACACATCTTTAGTTTCCGCGCTTGTTCTTATGTTAGTGCCCAGGTTTGGCATTAGTAGCACAGTGTTGGTAAAAGGATTGCCATTATGATCTGTTTTTTAGTTTCCATTTGTATTGCTTGTTGTTTCAATGTTGGGTAAAGGTGATAGGTTACACTGTCGGCTTGACTCGATTTCACTGTCTAGCCTACTGTCTGATGTGAAGGTTTCTGATCATCAGAAGAAATTCTCATTCCTCAGATGTTTTGGCCACTTTATCTTTACATTTTCTCGATATTATATAAAAAAAAAAAAAGTAAAGATCCCTTTTCACGCATGTTGGAAAAGCACCCATATTTTTACAGACCAATCGGCACTCGGTGGGTAATGTGGTCAGCATTACGCAGGCCGTTTTTACTTCCCAAAGACATCCTGGTACCCATTTTAAGCTGGGTGGACCTGCGACGCCCATACAGTGATGAAAATCCATGCAGCCAGCAGTGGGTTTCGATCGCCATACATTGGAATTACGAGTTGGACTTACAGCACCTAAGCCACGAATGCTGTTTTCTGGATATGGCCAGTGGTTAATGACTCCCAGTTGTCTTTCTTTTATTGTGCATCTTAATCATTTTTGTGTGTTTGTTTTTAATTTGTTAATTGTCATTGAAAATTTATAATTTATAATTAAATTTCTATGTTTCAATTTCAATGAATGCCAGTGAAAATGGGAGAATGACTAAAGACATGGGATGAAACATTTAATGCACTCAAAAACAAATGTCTGAGAAAATGGATGAACATTAAGTGGTATGAATTTAAGAAAGGCAAGAAATAAGAAAAATGTCTGCACAGCCACTGGGAGCAACAAATACTGAAAATAAAAAATAAATAAAAGAAGATGGTGATATATTGGGTACATCTGAAGAAGTGGACACACTTTCTCCAAACAGATACTGAAATGGAAAACTGAGAAAGTGGACTGAGAAAACAAGGATGTCCAAGAAAAACCCTAAAATAGACATTGATGAGAGAGGGCAAAGGTGCTGGACTGAATTCCATCCATATCTAATATCATAAGGATTGCACAGGATAGTATAAAGGTAAGTTGATAGACCGAGTGACATGACAATGCATGACATGATGATGGTGATGATGTCATTTGTTAAAAAAAATTATATTAATTTTTTTTAATTGAGCTTTAGGACATTCTTTAAGGTCTGCCCTTTAAACTGTTCTTTAGTGCTCAAGTATTCATTTAAGATCGTGTGTATTGTGTGCGCGCGTGTGTGTGCGTGTGTGTGTGTGTGTCTATATATATATATATATATATATATATATGGACCATATATATAATAAGTGTTAATCATTTACAGGACATTTCAGAAGCAACACCATAATTTTTTGGCTGCTGAATTTTATTATGAAATTTTACTGTCAGTAGTTTGCCATTAGTGCTGAACGACCGGCTCTCGATACCATTGTTGAAATCAACTTAATGTAGTCTGCTGCCAGATGGCTCACAGCTGGGGTCGAACCTGGTATCTTGGCATTACAAACCACATTTGTAACACCTAAGCCACAGATGCTGATAAACACACATGTCCACACACATATGGCATGAGACGTGCAGTGGCCAGTGGCATATTTCATATTTTTAAAGCTGACTAGAATTTCAAGGTTGACCCAGCTGAAAATAAGTTCAGGAAATAACCTGTGAAGTAAAGGCAGTCAGCATAATTTTGAACACATCACATATTAAGTGCCACCTGATGTGTAGAAATAGAGGTTTAACACTATGTACCTCCCCCGTGTGGGTTCATTAGAGGGAAAACAAGAATAGACCCACTGCCTCCCCAAAAAGCATGTTGTAAGAGTCGACTACCTGGGGGCTTCCTTTGAAGTCGGAGTGCATCTGCCTGAGAGGCAAGGAACCAGCGATCTGCATACAAATAAGTCAGATCTGTAAAACAGATGCACACGCAAAACTCAGATCCTGGAACAAAGCCAAAGTCCAGAAATGGATGAACAAGCAGGTCTTTCCACTGGAATTTATAGCCGGTGAATGCAAACAACAACAACTATGTAACTGATGCAGCATGAAATGTTTTTAGCGGATAGACACTCTTCTGTAGAACCGAAGGTCACAGGTTCAGGTTCTGATGGAGCCAGACGTTTTTGGGGATGACCTAGCTTTGAATGGGTACCAGGTAAAGTCCTGGGAAGTAAAGTGGCCAGTATGATGTTGACCACATCACCCACCGAGTGCCAGTTCTATAAAATATAGGTCTAACCCTGTATGCCAAATATGCCTGAAGGCATGGAAAAGGGTCCTTAACTTTACACAGACACACACACACAGTCATAAACACAGTCACTCACACAGTCACACACACAGTCACACACACACAGTCACACAGTCACACACACAGTCACACACACAGTCTCACACACAGTCTCACACACACACAAACACACTCACTGTATGGCCAACTTCCTTCATTGTTACACATGATCTCATTCAGTAATATTTCCTTCAACTGTATTTGTTAAACTAATGGTTAGTTTGAATATGTCAAGTGACTGACTTGTGTGTGTTCGGTACTGTTTGCTGTACAGATCTCCAGGAAGCTGCGAAGAAAAAGGAGAGGAATAAACTCTCTTGTGTGTTTCTGGAGAGGAGTCAGCACATGAAACAGCTGGTCTTGAGGGCCATACAGCCGTCTCCTGACCTGCCTCGGCGTGTGGTAGTCAGGTCGACTCTGGACACACTGTCTGAGCTGACAACACAGATTGAGGGAGTCCTGAGAGGTAATGTTAATTGTTGCGTTCAAAGATTTAATGACTGTTAAATAGTGTTTGCTAAATGTGCTCTTATTCTCTTTCTTCGGCTAACTCGTGGAAGTGTTTTTGTGTGTGTGTGTGTTTCTTCTAACTATCTTATCTGCTGCTTTTTTAAATACATACTACATTGAAAGATTATTGAGAAGTAGTCAGTCATTAAATGTGTTCCTTGAAGGTTGAAAGAGAAGTTAAAGTTGAATATCTTTGTAGAGAAGTGGTGTATTTGAATGTACTAGTTATTTGTAGCATATACATTTTCTATGGTATATAGGTATTCAGCCATGTGCTAACCCTCCTCATTGGACTTTTTATATAGAATCGTACAACCTTCGGCTTTCATCGCAGGGGCTGGTAATTCCAGAGAATAGTTAGCCAAGTATATACCCTTTTTTTTATGGTTTATTTTGTTAGGAATGTTTTGATATCTTTCTTGACCATTTTCATGACTTTGGCACATCCGGCAATGTAGTGTTAGTAGACCTGTATTTTTATTGACCAACTGGCACTCATTGGGTGATGTGGTCAACAACATCACACCAGATGTCTTCCCAGTACTTTACCTGGTACCCAGTTGAGGCTGGGTCCACCTCGGAGCCAAGGTAGGTTGGAAAACAAAAATGTGGATTTGAACCCTTGACCGTTGGGCTGGCAGGCAAGTTTGTATCCATTACACTACTGCAGCTCCCAGAGAAATGTTTATTAATGAGTAAAGTTTTAAAAAAATTAATGTGTTCACAGTTTCTGCAAAGATGTCAGATGCAGACGTGAACTGTCTGTCACAACACTGGGCTGCAAGAATGAAGAAACTGGTCTTCAATATGCAGAAAATGGATGGAGTAGAAGCTTCTGTTTTATTAGGTTTGTACTCACTTTGTTCTTTCTTTTTAACTTAGAAATCTGGTCACGCACAGACAAGTGTTGGTCAAAGCCTAGAAATTAACATCATGAAGACAAAAGTAGAATATCTTAGTTTTGACAGTTTGATCATGTCTGCTGGATGACATGGAGTGACTCCACAGCCATATGTACAGGAAGGTCAAGACTGGGGAATCAGAACTTGTGTAGACACATCAGATTACTAAACATATGCAGTTGTTAAAGAGATAGCTTGTTATGTTATTTTATATTATTACAGTTGATGTCAGTGCACATTGGGTATTCCCATGCGTACTCAGTCCTTTGATGCAGCAACCATTCCAAGGTACTTCTAATAACTGTTCCCATGAGAAGTTGGTTAAAATGTCTTCTATCTCGGACTCAGAGGCGGCATAGACGTGCTTCACCGTACCACACAATTGTGTTAGCGTCAGAGATTCGTCATTATCCACTAGCCCAGTCCGTACAGCATTGACGATATCTGCTCTGTCCATGCTTCTTCCCACATGTGTTGTTGCATTGTTTGCCAGTTGGTCCGCTCACTCATTTCCCTTTATGTTCTTATGACCAGGTGTGTAGATACAGATCACTAGGTCCAGAGCTACCTACCATCTTAATGGCAGCAGCTCGTTGGCAGCTCTATGACAGGGATGTCTATCTCGAAAGCAACTAACCCATCGCTGTCAGATAATACACATCAGCCTTTAATCTAATTTACAACAAGTGATCGGTAGTTAGTTCCAGAGGTGGCCCAAACTGGCTTGAGTGCTTTATGATTGCCACTGATGCAGTAGCCTTTCAGTTTCTTCCAGGCATTAACCGGGTCTGAACCAACAGCCTCTGATCCAAGCTCTTTTCTATGCTTCTGTACCTGGCATTGTGACTGCTGTGCTACTGCACGACTCTGGTTTTGTGATCAGACAGACCATGTCACTGCGCCAAGTCACCTGGGTATTGGGCCTACGAACTTGTTCTCATCTTCTTAATTACTGATAAACTCTTTTGCAAACCACCTCGCTAACACAAGCTAAGTATCTGAGTGAAAGCAACTATAACTAAACACTGTGATGTTACACTGCCTACTGACCCTTAAATTATAATACCGTGACTCTGGCACATTATCACAAACTGTCCATCACTAACTTCAATCTATTACTCAAACATCAAACGGTCAAAACACCACAAGTCTCCGTCCAGGTCTGTGCGCTAACTCCCTGAAAACCCTTCATTCTGTCCATTTTATCCGGTCCCATCGTTCACCATGTGGTCAGTCCGCTTCTCAATGAATCCAGGAGATTCACTTGTCTGTCTCTGTCTGTCTCTGTCTCTCTCTGTCTCTCTCTCTCTCTCTCTCTCTCTCTCTCTCTCTCTCTCTCTCTCTCTCTCTCTCTCTCTCTCTCTCTCTCTCTCTCTCTCTCTCTCTTGCTCTCTCTCTCTTTCTCTCTCAAGAAGGTTTTTCTATAGCAAAAAAAACTTTGAAAAAAACTTTTCAGTAGAGCATTAAAAAAAAAAAGAGAGAGGACTGTTGTAGACAGAACTGCTGTGTTCTGGGAGTTACTAGTTTGAACATGCACATGGGACAAAGAAAACAGGACTACAGCAGAATACTTTGAACTCAAGAATTAATAGTTTTGGTAATGACTATAATTGTTACAGAATGCTCAAAATGTAACTCAGTGAAAAGTTCGTTGTTACAGCTTTATGTGCTACAGAAAACTTTAAAAAACCTGAAGAAAATAAGGACTAATTTCTGAAAGAATCATGTGCTTTATTTTTTTATGAAGTAATTAAGAACTCAGAAGAATGCCCTTATGTCCAGAAAATTTTAGTTGGTTTTTTTTTTGTTTTTACAGAGATTGAAAGGTGCAATAAATCATCCTTTGACTTGTACCCAAACCCACGTTCACAGCGGCACATACAGCAGCCTCAGTGCATCCTACCAAGTCAACAGCAACAGGCAGAAAGCCACCATCATCTTCTACAGCAGAACTTACAGCAACATGGACAAGTGCCTCAACTGATTCCACAGCATCATTTTCATCATAGTGATCCTTCAGTGTCTAAACATGATCAAAACCTCCAGGACTTGCCAAGCAAACTCCACCCAGGGACATCCATTGCTGCACAGAGTGCTGGGAGTGAGCCAACATTGAACGCTGAAGCCCATCCAAGGTTTGTCTTTGTGTTGAAGGCAACTGTTCATCACACATGCACGCACATGTTACACACATGCGCATATATACATATATATACACACACATACACACCTTCTTTACTTACGACCCATCCGACTTCGACCAACTGCACTCATGACAACATAAAATAAATGAATAAAAAGGGTAATTTCAGGTTTTATTCTTCTGCACAGAACGTACACTAGAGCAGTTTTCTTCAACCCATAGGCCACAACCCTGTGTTAAAATCAATTCAATGTTAATGCAGTGCTTCATCTATCAGAATTAATGTTTCAACCTTTATATCAGGTTTTATAATTTCTAAGCGGCAGATTTGCCGAAAACTGTAATTTTGTGATGTCAGATTTAAAAATAATTTGCCTTCTATATATGTTTTTGTGTTTGGTTGGCTGTCACACGGGCTGCGAAACAATTTTCCCTGTTTTGGTGGGCACAAGGTCTAAAAAGGTAGAGAAACACTGCACTAGAGTACAAATAGTGTATTTTTTTTTTACATTATGTACAATAATCATACATTCATAGATATAAATTGTGCTTTTCATATGAAACATTTTATGACCTTTTAAACGAAAATAATGTTGAAAATTCGTAAAATATTATGAAAATTTAAAACTGTACATATGGGAAGTTCGACTTACGACTTGTTAGTCAGAATGGATCTTAGTCATAAGTCAAGGGGGCTGTATAAAGTTTCCATGTCTTGAAGTGCATTAGGTATTTGTGTGTCTAATGGTGCTAACTGTGTAGTTTGTGTAGATCATTCACCATTCTATGGGTTTGTGGTTACTCTGCTTTGGGCGGAAGAGGGCATTGGGGAGGATGCTAGCCTTAACCTAGAAAGAGTTAGTGTTTGTATATACTAGTTAATTGTAGTAGCAGATTCAAACCCATTGTAGTGTTTACTTGGACTAGTTAATTGTACCACATTCATGAATTCTAGTCGTCCTCTTTTGAGATGAAATTTTTCATTATGTTGAAGTCCCACGCTGGCTTTTGCCAGAAGCCGCAAAATAGCCCAGCCATAAATATGGTCTAATGACTGAATGCGGTTTCCGGGACCTCTCCACGGGTGGTCCTCATCCACATGGTGGCACTTTGTGTCATCGGGTGTTTATCACTTGTGTGATGTCCTGGTGGGATAAAAGTACTACTACTACTACAACAATCATGACCACTGTAACCACTGTAATGTTTGTATATACTAGTAAATTGGAGCACATCCATACAAATTGTAGTATTTGTATCTGCTAGTTGACTGTAGCACATCCATACCCATTGTAGTATTTGTACATGCTAGTTGACTGCAACACATCCATACCCATTGTAGTATTTGTATATGCAAGTTAACTGTAGCACATCCATACCCATTGTAGTATTTGTATATGCAAGTTAACTGTAGCACATCCATACCCATTGTAGTATTTGTATATACCAGTTGTTGACTGTAGCACATCCATACCCATTGTAGTATTTTTATATGCAAGTTAACTGCAGCACATCCATACCCATTGTAGTATTTGTATATACCAGTTGTTGACTGTAGTACATCCGTACCCATTGTAGTATTTGTATATACCAGTTGTTGACTGTAGCATATTCATACCCATTGTAGTATTTGTATATACCAGTTGTTGACTGTAGCACATCCATACCCATTGTAGTATTTGTATATACCAGTTGTTGACTGTAGCACATCCGTGTCCATTGTAGTATTTGTATATACCAGTTGTTGACTGTAGCACATCCATACCCATTGTAGTATTTGTATATACCAGTTGTTGACTGTAGCACATCCATACTCATTGTAGTATGTGTATATACCAGTAGTTGACTGTAGCACATCCATACCCATTGTAGTATTTGTATATACCAGTTGTTGACTGTAGCACATCCATACCCATTGTAGTATTTGTAAATACCAGTTGTTGACTGTAGCACATACATACCCATTGTATTATTTGTATATACCAGTTGTTGACTGTAGCACATCCATACCCATTGTAGTATTTGTATATACCAGTTGTTGAGTGTAACACATCCATACCCATTGTAGTATTTGTATAAACCAGTTGTTGACTGTAGCACATTCATACCCATTGTAGTATTTGTATAAACCAGTTGTTGACTGAAGCACATTCATACCTATTGTAGTATTTGTATAAACTAGTTGTTGACTGTAGCACATTCATACCTATTGTAGTATTTTTACATGCTAGTTAACTATAGCACATCCATAACCATTGTTGTATTTGTATATACCAGTTGTTGACTTTAGCACATCCATACCCATTGTAGTATTTGTATTTACCAGTTGTTGACTGTAGCACATTTATACCTATTGTAGTATTTGTACATGCTAGTTAACTATAGCACATCCATAACCATTGTTGTATTATATATGCTTATTGATTGTAGCTCATCAGTACCCATTGTAGTATTTGCATATGCTAGTTGACTGAACATCAAGGAAGATTGGCTAATAAACAGCATCCTGTCACAGAAGCTGAAATAGTTTGGTCATATCAAGAGCCACGACGGATTGAAAAAAAATTATAGCAGAAGGCATGGTACCAGGAAGGAGGGGCAGGAGCTGACCAACTTGACGATGGGTACAGGATATAAGTGACTACTTGAGTATGAAAGTACATGAGGCAGGAGAGCTGGCGAGAGACCGAGTTTCTTTCAGGCAGACCATGATGAGAGCAACGTTCTGCAAAAGATCTGCTACATGATGATGATGAGTTGACTGTAGCACATCCATACCTACTGTAGTATTTGTATATACCA